ACTAACGTTTGCCCCCACATTGGCGCGGTAGACTGCCGTTCCGTTTACTTACGATATCAAAACAACAAAATGAGAAAAAATCAGCTTTGTAGGAATTGGTGCAAAATTTCTGTCGCTGCCTCCCGGACTATAACGAATTTACATCATTTTTATCAATTAACTAGTCATATCTTGTGGACAATCCATTTTAATTTTCTTAAGAGGGAATTTTCATTATTGTGATATGAACAACTTTCTCTAAGATGGCGAGACAAATTATACTTAGAAGAGAACTTCTTGTTACACGATAGACAATTCATTTTAGAATGATCACAACTTTTAAATAATTCTGAGCGTTGAGTTTTGAAATCCGGTTTAACCAATTTAACTTGTTTAAACGTTTTTATCACTTTTAAATAATTTAGGCAACTTGGCTTTATGGGAAAAAAGTCATAATACGGTTAAACTTGTTCTTATGAACCGATGTTTAATTTCTAGCTCCAATCTGTGAACAAGTAGTAGTCATTAACTATACCGTTTTCAAAAAATTGGGACAGGAAAACTAAAATTGTTGTGTTTCCATTTAGAAGAAATGATGCCCATTAACTATACCGTTTTCAAAAAATTGGGACAGGAAAACTAAAATTGTTGTGTTTCCATTTAGAAGAAATGATGCCAGGGTGTGTCATAACTAACATCGGAATTTGCAGAGATAAGTGCAATACTTGCTCAAATGCAAATAATTATATGAAGCAAAGATGTCTAGTTTGTGAAGAAACAGGGGATCATTATTGGAATCATATATGTCGTATGTGTATGGATAAAGTTACATTTCTATGTGAAGAGACCGAATATACACATTTTAACGATGAACTTCATTATAGAATCTGCTGGTGTCTGAAACAGGAGTAGCAAATACTGAGAAATCAATTGAATTAAGAGTCTCCTGTAATTGTTAATTAATAATCAATTTACATTTTTTATAATTTTGGTATCAAAAATCTCAAATTTGTTTTTACGAGCATAAAGGCCTCAAAAATTGTAACAAAAAACACGTGTATGATGCTATTAATACTATTGATGGAACATGCAATGTTAACATCGTTAGTAAAATGAAGATATTTTGTCGAAATGCACATATGAAATATCAATTAGCTCTAGAAGAAGGCAATATAAAAGACTTAGATAGGAAGGCACATATTGAAGGCAGAATACGTGCAATAAAAGAAATGAATGACCTTCAAAAGAAGAAATTAAAACTACGTGAAACTACCAAATACGAAATGGACAATATTAATAGACTTTTAGATATCTTGAGAAAAAATTAAAAAATATAGTTGTATATTATTTGTTGTTTATTTTCTGTTTCTTTTTACTGGTGTTGATCTTTTTACTACAATTTTTTATCAGACATTTTCCTTTCATTTTTAAGGACAGAAATTAAGCACCCTCGTCAAAGAGAAACATTTATAAGAGATTATTTGGTTATGAAAAAGATTATGGAGACCAGTTTATAAAAAGGTTAATGCATAAATACCAATTAATATGTAAAACTTAAGTACAAGTGACCTGGATATTACTTTTGAACTATGAACCCTGATTAAGATTAATTTAACGCATTATGGCTTATTCTAACTAAATCCTGGTCTTTATCAACAAAACTGCTGTAACCGGTATTTGAAAAAGCCAAAAACTTCTTGCTTGCATTTTCGTATTGATATTACTGGTAGTAACTTTAGCATTATTACTTTTATAATTTTTGCCATATAAATTACAAGAAACGTTTCTTATGTCCATCTTATAATACTTCCTAACAATTGAAGAATTTGCTGCAGATGACATATTATAGCACTTCACTATTTATTATCTATAAATTAAATAATCTAAATGACAAAATCAACAACCTTTTATTTCTAGAGTCTGTATGTTTAATCACCGTGGTGGGGTGATAATTTTCTTGCTGGTTTTACTTTACGATAGTAACGGGAATCTGCGTTTTGTAATGCAGAGGGCTTTGAACGTTTGGAAAATATTCTCTGGTTGCCTTCCAAAATTGAAATGACTACTCTCTAAAGGATAAATGATCAAGGGAACCGCCTTGCATCCTATGTATTTGCGACGCATTGTGTTCACACATATCTAGCATGTGAAATATGAGAGGCATGTATCATTTTTTACCATGTAGTGCTACTCTATACAGTGCAGGAAAGTACCGATCAGAAGTTACGTGAGAGCGATAAAGTAAGCCATAGAAATCCATGTGATAGACAAGGATGGCTATAATAAAGGCGTCTAATAGTCAACGCCCATTTCGCCCTTCCACAAATAAGAAGTGGATGTATTTTATTATATTAATTAATAATTAATTAATAAATTTTAAAAATGTAAACGTATTTCGTTAAAACGAAAAAATCTTACAATTTCATTCCATGCCTAATGGTGTCCAAACAATAAAGACGCAGTATTCTCGTTTTGTTATGTGAAGTTGACACTGTACTTGAAAATAATAATTATGTGTTGTTTTTAAACGTATTTTGTCGTTCACAATTTCAACAAATTTGAGATTTTTTTCTGCGTTGCCTCTTTAGGGGTCATGTCGACAGCAATTTGTGGACACTTCTACAAGTCCTCGTTCTCCTATAAATAAAACCGTCTGTCTATCTTTCGATATCACCAAAAAACCCCATTCTTTTACCTGAGTGTTATTCAATTCTTCATACAAATTTATTGCAATGAACAGTGAGTGGATAAGCGTTGTTTGCATATCAGTCCAAACAGAGGTCGTTAGCCTTTTCATTCTTTCTTCTTTCCACAACAGAAGCTGCGTTTGGTAATATACTCCCAGATACGATGAGATTTTAGTCACGTGATTACAGATTTAAGTGACAAATCTGGAATTAATGAACGGAACGGATTTATAAATTTAACCTTACTTTTTGTTTTTGTTTTTGACAACGTGAACTGTGATCATGGATATCAAAACGTGCATTTTGACTGTGGTTCAGGGATATGAAATAATTTTTGAAGATGAGGATGAAGGTAGTATAGGACAGGAAGAACATAATTTGGAAAAAAATGAAAATTTTGCCGAAGAAACTGTGCCAAATTTTTCCGACCGACAATTTAAAGAGCACTTCAGAATGTCTCCCGAGACATTTGAAAATTTATTAGGAAAAATGCACTCGGTCGCAAATAACCATGTGGCCGTCGGCCATCCGGAAATAGCACTGGAAAAGCACATATTGGTTACATTATGGTGCCTAGCAAATATTGAAAGTTTTCGGTAAGAATATTTGTGATATCGACATGAACGTAATAGTTAGTTCTTCCTGTTTAATTTTAGCTCTGTTGGTGATCGATTTGGCATCTCGAAAGCCACTTGCTGGTACAGCTTGTATAGAACCTGCCATAAAATTTTAGCTATTAACGGAGAATATAAAATAATTTCTTGGCCATCCAGACAAAGAGCCGTAAATATAATGGAGTCATTTCAAACAGCTAATGGATTTGAAGGTAGGATTTCTTTATAAACTAATATTGACTTAATTTTTAATGACAAATTGTTTTAGGAGTAATAGGCTGCATAGATGGTACTCACATTAAAATCTTAGCCCCGAAAGACCATCCTAACTCGTACTGCAATAAAAAGAATTTTCACTCAATATTATTGCAGGGTGTATGTGATCACAGAAAATTATTTACCCATGTGTACACAGGGGAGCCGGGTTCAATTCACGACAACAGACTTTTTGAAAAATCTGATCTGTCTCATGAAGCTGGACTAGTTCAGTTTCCTAATGAAAGCCATCTTTTAGGAGATGTGGCTTATAAATTGAAGGAATACCTCATAGTTGGGTTTAAAGATAATGGGTTATTAACAGATACCCAAAAAATTTTTAATTTCAAACTTTCCCAGACAAGGGTGGCTATTGAAAAGTGTTTCTGCCTCTTAAAAGGCAGATTTAGACGGCTCAAGTATATGGAAACCGTAAGATTAGATCTTATTTCTTTATTAATCATGTCTGCATGTATATTACATAATTTATGCATTTTAAATGGAGACGAAGCAGATGATATTATCAACTTTGACCAAGAATTTCAAGAGGAAAGGCAGTTCAATAATGAAAATTATATAGATCAAGTAGATTTCAATAATCGTAGGGCAATAGAAAAAAGAAACCGAATTATGAATAATTTAAGAGTAGACCATGTTTTTTAGTAAATACTGTGATGTTATTGTATAATTACAATATAAGGTGTTCCATAATAATATGCGTTTATACAAGGAGTTGAATATTCACGATTTTACGTAAAAAAGTTTATATAAACATGTTCGCAAATGCTTCATTACCATGATACAGGGTATTAAAGTTTTAGGTAACAGTAACAATGGTTTACAGTTAATTCTTCAACAATCGAAAAAACACAGAATTTCAGGTTCGAAAGAAATTAAAAACTAAAACAAAAAAATTATTATCCGTTAGTCAGAGCCTACTGTAGAACATTTTATGGCTTACCCAAAGAAAGTGTGGGGGGCTGAAAAGGAGGCCTGACCTCAGAATAAATAGCACCCTGTAGATGGTGACAACTACACAGGGCTAATGATGCAGGCAACCTTAAGTTAGCCTATGTTCCAAATTTAAGCTACTTATCTCAAAAACTGTAGAATACAAAAAAATAAATTATTGAAATTTTAACACCCTGTATCATGGTGACAAAGCATTTGCCGTGTTTATATGAATTTTTTCATTTTTTCATGTGGTTCATATAAATATGAACCACATAGGCTACATCGAAAAATAACACTAATTTGTCAAAAGATTTCCCCATAAAAAATAATCCAACGGCATCAAATCGCTTTCTGCAACACAGCACTCACTTTGGAAATAATTTTTCAATATTTCTCAAAGTTGTTCAAGCCTAAAACGATCCATCTTACAGCGGAGGGTAGACGCTATACAATATGTGTCAATATGTCGAGCGTGTCATGTTGTTAATGTGGAAATAACTCTCAATTAAAAAAGAAAACATCTGATGGCCCACCCTATATATTCCTATATTGCTTCATTACAGATATACAGAGTGATAAAGTTTTATAATCAAAATCCATTAGTTCTTCCAAAACCCGTCAGTTATTTTAAATAAAATTTTACATGCTTTTTCAGCAAAGGAGTGTTTATATTATTTTTTAATTATTTAATTAGTATTTCTTAAATTATTAAAATTGCATGTTTTCTTAAATAGGGAGTAAATTGTTTTAATGCTCGTTACAAAACGAGGCTTCCTAGGAAAAAATTCCAAGACATTTTTTATTTCAAATTAACCATACGATCCAGACATTATCTATTTTGAGAAAAACCAGTTGTGTACCATTTTTTTTTTATTAACATCCATTCACTTGCCAGTACGCCACCACTGGTGAGACTGTAAATAAAGTAATTGTTGAGAAAAAAGTACTTTCAGTGACTGGCAAAGTTTGTAAAATTTTATTGAAATAACTCGAGCAGTTTTGGAAGAATACGTGGATTTTGTTTCGATTCTGAAACTTTAACACCCTGTATCTCTGTAACGAAACGATATAGGAACATGATTTATTTGACAAATTAGTGTTATTTTTCGATGTAGAATACGTGGTTAATTTTTTTTGCAATATTAAAAAAACAGCCTATATATCCTGTCGCGTTGCCCATCATTCGAACTCGAATTCGAATAAAACTGTAATACGAGATCAAACAAATGTCAACAATCAACTGGAATGTTCATAGTTCAGTGAATGACTGTCAATGCGGTTTATTACAATTGGAAATCAAATGTCATCGCTGCTTTTTTCGACTGCTTTAGTCAGTCTCTCTAATAGGTCTAAATATCTATCTTGTCTCGCCATTTTATCCTGGTGTCGTTTTTCAGTTGCATTTTCGGCCCTTTTTCTTTTTCTAGAGAATGATGACGTAGATTGATGAGTTTCACACATATTTGAACTACTTGATGAAGTATCTGCAATACCAATAACAAAATAACTTTATTATAAGTATTTGTTTGCAAAGTGAACAGAAAAAGTAAAAAATTGACAAACCATAACTTAAAGAAAAATTGGTAGACATGTTAATACTAACCAGTATCTTTAATGTTGCTAATGGGTGTACCACCTACAATTAGTCCACTCTTACTGGAGCATGTTGCATAAGGAGTTATTTCGGGTTTCGAAAAAAGGATGTCATGCATTTGCTCAAAATATTTCCAAGACTTTTTGTTATTTCCGGATTGTTCGTTATGCTTTCTGATTTGCTTATACATATTCTTTAATGCTTTAAATTTCGTGTCACACTGCTGAGCGGTATATATTTGTTGGTATGTCTCGGAAAGTGTTTTTGCAATTTTTATCCATATATATTTTTTCACACCCTTTTCAAAGTCTTTATCATACTTTTTACACAGACTGATTAAGTTCAGTGTGCTTTCTTCCGTCCATAATTTACTGTTCTCTAAAAATAAACAAAAAGATGTTTAAAATTCCTTATTCTAATAGTGCTAAAAGTGACCACTTTTTGCACTATCTACTGTACCAAAAGGTGTCAAAAAGTCAACTTTTTTGCAAAAAGTTACTACCTTTTGTACTCTTGTAGAAAAAATGTTGTTTACAGCATGTGCAAAAGCATTTCTGTTGCACTCAGCAAAGATTGCAGCGAGAAACGAAGTCAAAAGCTGCAATCTTTTAAAAAAATGTAAGAAATATTAACCTCGGTTTTAACAGAACGTAATGGAATAAGATAGGACCATAATTCTTTCTTGACAAAGATCATTTCCTTTATATTTTATTATTTCTCGAGTAAGTTTAAACATACCTTGTAATTCCAATTTTGTATCGGTCGCATTTGAGGTTTCATTACTTGCTACATCAATTTCTGCATTTTCAGTACAGTCCTTATTAAGATTTTCAGTACTGGTTTCCTTAAGTATCTTGAACGCTTTTACAAAATTTTCTTTTTCTTGCTCCAGCGCCTGCTCCTTATTTAAGAGGACTTGTGCCAAAACCATATCTTAAAAAATATGGAATAATAATTTTCATTTTCCTTTATAAATACAAATAATCGATCTCACACCAAATCGACCTCGCACCCGTATAACCCGAATACGATTCACAACCCGAACACGACATGTGCAACGGGGAAATATAAAAAAAGTGAAACCAAGGCGGGCCCAGCGGGCCCGCCGCGTCCCGCAGTAGTTGAATACAAACCGCAGCGAAAATTTATAAAACATGACCACCGCGCGCTCCTAAAACCGAGAAAAGAAAAAAATTTATAGTTAACAAAACCACCACAACCGTAACAGAATGCGAAGCAATCCACTGGGCCCAGCGGGCCCGCCGCGCCCCGTAATAGTTCATTATGGAATACAGCGAAAATAAGCATAAACAAACATTGAAAATAAATTGATAGGCGAACTGGCGCACCGCTTCGCGGCTCGCAACCAAAACACTAATTGAAATGCGGAGAAATAGTATATATGCAATAATTTTGTATAAATCGACCTCGCACCCGTATAACCCGACCACAATTTACAACCCGAACACCCGCGGCCCTCAGTAGTTGAATAGGAAATACAGCGAAAATAAGCACCTGGCGCCTCTCAACGCGAAAACAATTGAAAATAAATCGATAGGCGAACAGGCGCCGCTTCGCGGCTCGCAACGAAAACAGTCATTAAAATGCGCAGAAGTAGTATATATGCAAGAATTTTTTATATATAGATGTCGCACCCATATAACCCGACCAGAAATCACAACCCGAAGACGACATGTGCAACGTGAAAATATGAAATTAAAACCAAGCTGGGCCCAGCGGGCCCGCCACGCCCCGCAGTATAAGAAATAAAAAAAAAATAAAATCACCGTAACAGTAGAAAATAAATTGATAGGCGAACTGGCGGCACTTGGCGACGCGCAACCGAAACATAAAAAAATGCACAGAAGTACCGCTACATGCAGTAACCCGCCGAGACCACTAAAAAATGCAACGTGATCCACACAACAACGGAAATGTGTAAATGTGTAAATGATACCGTACCACAACGCGAAGTGACCCGTCGGGCCCATTAGGACCATCAAGTCGCCACTTCGCAAATCCGAGCGGAGAACTGGAAAGGTAGGCCAAATCCGCCAGAACGGACATGAAAAAAAAAATTAAAATCTCCGCCCCCTTAAGCGCTACAAAAAAAAACGAAAGAATACTTTTTTGCTAGTCACATGATAAGCTTTCATTTGATGTAGGATAAGTCCATATTCGAACCGACGAGGTTATCAAAATGTTTAGCTCACGTTCTCCACCGGGGGTCGAAAACTAAAATCGGCCATAAAAAAAAAAACTATAAAAGATATCGTAAAACCAGAAACACCTCCGAGTTCGTAACAGCAAGACGCACCTGTTGATGCCCTCGGCGACAGCATAGGAAAATTTAAAAAATTCCAACCCCACAGCACCCTCCAAAGAAAGAGAAGACATTGGAAAAATACATCACACAGAAGCCCTCTGAAGGTATAATGAATCCCCCAAAGAAAAATCCGGCCCGAAGGACCAAACGGCCAGAATAAAAAATCGGCCAGTACGCCTGGGCGGAACGTCGGATCGCAAAAAAATTTTAGGGGTACGAAGAGCCAAGGGCCCTCTACCTATCCACCAAATTTCGAACTAATCCGATAACATTACGCCTCCCCCGTACACCCCACCCCCACCCCCGAGGTCGGACCGCCAAACGAAGATCCATCGCGACATCATGACCGAAATAGAAAATCGACGGGTCCCGGCGATTTAATTGAAAAAAAAAAAAATTTTCGGCGCGACGTAGGTTTTCTTACGTTCGAATACGACACGATATATAACAAAATCGACCCCATGGGCGTGTTTGGCAGAACACGTACGAATTAAGTTTAGGGGTCTCGCCCCGACCCCACGAAAAAAGGGCGGGGTCATATGCACCCCACAAAAAAAAATCGATAGATTTTCACGAAATCCGACGTGGCCCACACACCCGACAGTCATAAGATCCCCTCCGAAGCGCAAGTCCGTAGCACCAACGGTTCGGCCGTAAATCGCTATAAAGTGTTCGCGCATGCGCCGAATTTTTTTTTTTTTTTCACAGAATCCGCCCGTCCCACCGTATCCGACAGGAGCCCGTGCGCATCCGTAGCATTCACCGCCGAAGCGCACGGCGACTTTTACGTTCTGCGCAGCATCGTAGCCATTCCACCTGTAGAGGCAAATCGAACCGCCGACCCGGCCGGAATACGAAGGTTCGTCGAACGTCGCTCCTGCTGTGGCCGTTCGCATATCGACGTATAACTCGCAAACGCGCAGGCACACAGAACCCCACGCGGTCGAGCACGAAGGGGCCCAGACCCTCAACCGACCATACCCCCACGCGCAGCCGTAGGTCGTACCCCGACCTACCGCGCAGAGATTCCGACCGTTTTCGGTAACTTCACCCCCACTTTTTATAGCGGTTCCGAGCCCGCCACGGTACCGCGCATACGGCCATATGTCGCTTTTCCCTCTCAGTCCAAAGACGTACGACTTGCACCCTAGAAAACTTATGCGAGCACGGACGCTTTACGTCCCTCTACCTCCGCGACCCCTCTGCGCAGAATTTTGCCTCCCCGCAACCCTCCGCGCATTCCCGACCGAGTTAACCTTGAGGATTTCGGGGTCGGACCATAGAGGCTCACCAATAGCCCCATCTTTTGCGCGTACAACGGCGCAAACCGCACCTCGCTACGGCGTCTCGTTCCCGAGCCGCGTGCCCGTTTATACTCGAAAACACGGTATCCCACCACGCCGCCCCCGGAGGTTGTAGAAGGCCCGCGACAGTCGCGCCGTACCCGGCTCGACCCCCCGACTCCGATTCCGCGGTCGTTTCGCCGCTCCGCCGCCGTTTCATACCAGCCGCCCCCGCTACCGCCCGAACGCCGGCCCCGATCGCAAAATCGACGAGAGGTGTTCGGCGTTCCCCGTCACGAGTACACCCCGTATACGAAGTTTGAGATCGATCCGATACATTCTAAAAACCCAGGTCACGTTCCCCATATGCGGGTAGAACTAGTGACGCGCCGCGGCGGACGCCGCGTCGGTCACTAGCAAGTTGAAGCCCGCAGAAGTTGAGAAAAGTCCGCATTGAAACGGGCGATAATTTTTTTGAAAACACAACTCAGAATGGATAACCCATAAAAGTAACCTCATCTTTTGTAATAAATAGAAACGAAATTAAATATATTAACATAAAAAAAATAAAATTACAAATCAAAAGATGAAACTACCTTTTCGTTCTTACTGGAACTCATCAGATGGGTGCGTCCGAATAGATGCAAGAGAAAAGGAAAAAAAGAAAGAAAGAAAAATAGAAAGGAAACAGTAAAAAAAAACAGTACGAACCGCGAACATAAAAAAAACAAACAGAAACCATCCTAATCGCTAGAATCCGAGGAAGAAATACGAAGGACACGCGGAGGAATCCTTAATCCAGTAGTACCCGGTCGATCGAACCTAGAAACCCTATCATCAGCCGGAAAATGAACCGTACGCCATCCGACGTCCTCATCGACTTCCATCTCAATGTGATCTAAAATATTATCTAAAACAGGAGCGTCTAACGAAGGCCAATCGTCAGTAGAGGGAAGAGAAGCATCTGGAGTCCCGTCATGCAATGGTAAAACCGCATGTCTTACATGGGCACCCAAAACCGTCGTATAAACAACGTTAGTGGTATATTTTCTTCCGTCTCTGAATCTGAAAGAACCCTGTTTCATAGAATTTTCAATACAAATTTTAACACGATCGACACTACCAACTCTAGAAAAGGCGGCGTACATCTGACCGTGCGAAAAACAGGGTCGTTTAAGGTATACACCAACTCTTGAGAAAGTCTGACCCTGAGATTTATTAACGGTCATGGCATACGCCACCCTCAAGGGATACTGAGTCCGTTTAAACTCCTTCGGTAACATATTATCGCGACCGATCATCGTCACCTTGGGAATCCAAACGACAGTTCCCCTCCTTTCGCCGGTAAGAATGCGACATTCCAAAACGTGATCTCCCAAAGAAGAAACTATTAACCGAGTACCATTGCAAAGACCTTCTTCGATATCTAAATTTTTAAGAAGCATGACAACCGTTCCCACTTTCAAAGTTAATTCGTGCGGAGGTAAAGACGCAGTCGTGATGGAATGGAGTAAATCTTGCGGCACCCGCAATTCATCCTCCTCGGCCGCCTCATAAACGTCCGTACTGAAATAGGAAACGGCCTCACCCGGCAACCTATCAACTATCAACCTATTGACATCGTTAACGACGGCATTTGTGGGACAAAGAATTACCCGGTCAGCAACATCCTCTCCATCGAATATACCCTGCGGATAAACAAAATCGAGCAACGCGTCCATATTTGCCACAACGAAACAATCGGGAATACGAATGATATCCTCAGGTACACCCGGAACCGACGGCAACGTCTCATGAGGTATACGATCTTCTCCAAGGCGAAGAAGCCATTCCGTAAAACGCTCATCACCCACATATCCGCCAACAACATCACCCGCAACTCCTACCCGAACGTTCGTAGAAAGAGAACAAAATCGCATCGCCCTCCACAAAGGCGACGCCTTTAAGCAAGACGACACAACCTGCGCCCTTCCACCGTGAGGAACAACGGGTAGAGTCTGACGAAAATCTCCGCCTAGAAGAAAAACTTTACCGCCCATAGGTACATCAGGCCTACCCATCAGGTCCCTAAGGAATCTATCGACGGCGTGCAAAGCTTCCTTGGGAGTCATAGGTGCCTCATCCCAAACAATAACCGCCGCCTCCCTAATAGCAACACTCCTAAAATGATCAATCGACCAACCGGCAACAGTCGTACCTGTTATTTGTAACGGCAATCGAAACGCCCTATGGCACGTCGTTCCACCGATAAGCAAAGATGCCGCAATACCAGTCCACGCCACAGCCACGGTCCTCTTACGCAGTACCCGGTGAACGGCCGAAATTAACGTATTATATAAATAAGTTTTCCCGGTGCCACCGGGACCATCGATATAGAACATATTCCCATCGAAGCGTTGAGAATCCCGCGGAAGAATAAAGGAAATAGGCACATCGGCATCCGTCTCAACAGCGATGCGCGACATAACGGCAGCAAAAATACGCCGTTGCTCGTCCGTCAAAGAATCGACATCGAAAATTCTGTCGGGAACATCAACGTCATCATCTATACGAAAACGTCCGTTTCGAGGAATCGGCTCACCACCGTTACCATCGTCATCTTCCTCGTGAACGACAATACCAAGTCGAGCCACATCGCCAACGTCCCAATTTCGCAAAACAACGACACTAATTTGGTCGATGGCCACCCTAACGGCATCGCCTCGACGATAGCCACGGCCAAGAAAATCCTCAATCATAGCCAACTTAAAGTCACGCCACAAATTGGGAATTTGAAGGATATGGTCACCGTCGGCAGCCAAAGAACATATTAGCGCAAACAACCGCCTTAAACGAAACGGATTATCTTTCAAAGAAGCTTCCAATAAACAATTTCGATACTCCTGAGGGTCGGCCAGCAACCCTCTACGTAAACAGGACGTCTTAAAATCGTCACAACGTTCCCCTTCAACCGTAAGTAAATCGTCGAAAGATATCGCACCGCGAACGTGGGACAATAAAAGACGCAAATAGAATTTCTCAATTTGACCACCAGCAGGAGAAACTTCTACCAAACAACCTATCACCTTCGTAATTTGACGTCTAGGCTCCCAATTTCCAGCCCGCCAAACGTAATGCTCTGGAATCTCCGCGTATTTCCACCGACGCGCCAGCACATCGGTTTCATTGAGAGTGAACCACGCCTCTAATTTAGTAGGTCTGGCGAGTAACCTATCAATTTGAACAACATCATCATTTTCATCGTATAAAACCTCATTCTCTCCCGGCAGATGCACCGGCAAAACAACAACGGAATGAGAACGATCATACATCCGAAATTCAAAAAGCTTTCAAACGGCCTCAGGAGAACTAACCCACCGACCATCGACATAATCCCTAATTTCGTCAACAACTCCGACCCTGTCCTTCAGCTGGCGCAATCTCGACGTCGACCATGTCGCCTCCTTTGTGAACATATTTATGCAAATATTTTATCGAAGCCAAAGAACCGCAAAGTTCGAAATTTATGTGACTCTGAAACCTACAAAGAGCATAAGGATTATAAGGTACGACCCATCTGTTATCATAAACCCTATCGGCAACCTGAATAGTCCTACCATCCCTAGGTCATCTATATTCCGCGAATCCAGACGCTTTCCTCAAATTTAAAACAGTAACGTCCCTATTGGGTTTCGGAAAAAATTTCGAGCAAGATCTTCGTCCTTCCCGATCGTCTGTCATACATGGAGCCGTTTCATCGTGCGGCCTACCCGAACAATGTAAGTGATTGGCTGCAACCAAAGCATACATTTCCGGTTGAACCTGTCGATCGGGAATAACCGCAGAAATTACAGCATCCACATCTTCCACAGTGAGTAATTTATCGTCAGGCATAAAAGTTACCGTTATGTGAGCATGCGGAAGACCTCTTTTCTGAAACTCGATGACATACATATACGATAAAACAATTCCATATATCTGTTTGTGGACAATATCGTCAATAAATGCGTCCAATTTTCTCTTGAACACCCTACAGACCAGATCAGGACGATGTTCCCACTTCTGCCGACCCTCTAAATTATCTCGAATCTCCGGCCAACGCGGATTGCAAGTAAACGTTATAAATAAGTCAGGCTTTCCGTACCTAGCAACGATCGCCATACTATCTAAATAACGACGCTGCAAATTTCAGAGAAGGCGAGAATGTAGAAGAACCCGAAAATAACAACATAATGGAAACACGTATGGAAGATTTATCGTCGTGGTCGTCATCGTCGTCAATAACGACGGCATATCCACCTTCTCTGAGTCCGTCAGAAGTAGACGAAAATGATAATAGCCAGGGAGGAATTAGCACTTCGTCGGAAGAAATCCGACAAAACATGCTGGATGAATTTATTAGAGGCAAACCACCAAAGAAACGTAAATTTACGTAGTGAAGTGCATAGAAATTCATATTTAAAAATCGGCTCTTTTCAGAGCCACCAAAACGATAAAATAAGAATTCCAAAACAAACCCAAAAAATATAATAAAGTATAAAAAAACATCCTAAAACTTCTGTAATATTGAAAGACGACGAAACAACATATGCAAAATGGCTCGCAACGGACACATTCACAAAAATGCACAAAATTACACATGAAACAGTAACAGGTAATACCATGAAATTATAACAATGAAATTATAAACGAAATCGGCTCTTTTCAGAGCCACCAATAAAAAAAAAGAATTCGAAAAACAGCGGAACAAAAAATAATATATAAAAAACATCCTAAAACGCCTATTATATAACAATTTTTTTTAAGTATTAAAACAAAATAAAGGAAGGATGAAAATATAGTAAATCACCCTATACGTTTTTAAAAAAAATTAAATAATTTATAAAAAAGATATAATTTGACAAATTTATTATAAAGCGAAATATCAAGAAACGTACGTATGTAACGAAAATGATATTATTTTTAAAAACGATACACTTAGACAAATATATTCATCAAAAATATACACATTAAAATTACATTACTCAATAACCCCTTACAACCAATTATCGTACAGAAGTAAATTACCTAAATGCAATAACATAATCCCGTTAGGCAGGTAGAATTAATAAAAACAGGTGCAACACAACCCAACACAATTACCATTTAGATAAAGTATAGGGCCTACGAAATACCGAAATTACAACATAAAAATAACCGAAATTTTAATTTGTATATGGAAAATTGTAATAGTGAGGAGAATGTGACTGTACATATTTTTACAAATGAAATATGAATATAATGAAAATTTATAAATAAGGTTAATATAAAACTTTGTAATAGAAAAGTGTTGAAACCATTGCATTATGGCAACATTGTACCTTGTAATTGTTAATCGTTTTTGTACAATTGTTTTAGTTTTTCAAATACATAAAGCTTCACAAACGTCATTGTCATATATTTTTGCAAATGAAACATGAATATGAGAAAAGTACATAGAAAAATTGAAAATAGTCGGAGATATAACTTGAAATTTATAAACATAGGATTTTTTACGTTAATTTTACCACAAATAACATAATGATAATTAAGTATGAAATTCGTAGGGAAATTAAATTGCGAAAGGAAAACTTTTGGTAACATGCGAAGCAATCCGCTGGGCCCAGCGGGCCCGCCGCGCCCCGTAATAGTCGATTATTGAATACAGCGAAAATAAGCACCTGGCGCCCCTAAACGCGAAATGTAACGAAAATAAAATTTAATTTTAAAGTAATACAATGACAAAAATTTATTATTTACCGAAAAATAAAAATTAAAAATATTTTACCTAAATATCCCTTAATGACAATTATTCCTTAATAGAACCCTAATTATCCCCCAATCACCTGTAAATGAAACATACAGATAAAGAAAAACGTCCATTACCTCCGTACTTGAAAGCCCTAAACGCGAATGATGTAATGATAAATAAGTCCACCGTAACGAACATGAAAATATACTTTTTAATTGTTAATCGTTTATCTACCATTTATGCAGTTTGTAATTATATAAAGTTTCACAAACCTCATTGTGAAATATTTTTACAAATTTTACATGAATATAATAAAAATGCATAGAAATATTGTAAATGTAATAGTGAAAAGAATGTAACTGCACATATTTGTACAAATAAAACATGAATATGATAGTTTTGCATGGAAATATAATAATATATAATTAGTAATCGTTTTTCCAATATTTATGAGATTTTTTAAATACATAAAGCTTAATAAATCTGTAAAATAAAAAAAGTGTCAGATATAAAATTTATGTACTAAAAATACCGAGAAATATACATTAAATGTACATAACTTTATAATGCATTAACAGCAATTTCATTTACAGTAAACATTTAAAAATAAATCCTTTTAAGTGAAATATTTTTTATAATAAAATACAAAAAATAAATCGTAAATTATCATAAAAAAGTAATAGGCGTTTAATAAACAATAAAAAATAAAAAATAAAAAGAATATATAAATATAACCTTAATAGAAAAACATATGATGTTTTATAAAATAATAATAAAATATAATCCAACTATAGAGAGCATAAGGTGGTTTTAAACCGTCACGAAACAGATTAATAATACAGTTAATGACAAAGTACAGAAAATAAATGAAACAGCATAAGCAAAAACATGTGATTTTTGAATATGCAAAGTAATATGAAACAGCCTTTAAATTTTAACAATTTTGAATAAAAATATCTACATGTAGTATAAGTATGAGATTTATTAAATCCATAGGTTGCAGAAAATACGATTGTTAATAAAAGAAATGCAGTAGTAAATTATACAGATTTAGTTGTATAACATATGCAACAATTTTGTTAGAACCTCACGTACAATTGTAAAACCTTTTGAAAAAAATTAAAAAAGTTTTATATGTCAGGTTTTTTTAATCAGTTTTGAAATGGACGAAAAAAGAAAATACAGAAAATAAATGAAATAGCGTAAATGAAAACATATATTTTTTTTCATAAACATCATATCACCTTTATGTGGAACTTTTTGTAATAGAAAAGTATAGAAACCATTTGTGAATTTAGATTGTCGTAAATATTTTTACAAACGAAACAATAATTGAAAGAAAATGAATAAATGTATTATAATTTTAATAATTCAGATAATATACACCGTTTACATTTTTTTAATTTTGAATAAAACCATCCGCTTGTAATATAATTACATGATATTTATAAAAAAAATATAGAAAAACATAGTATGTGTGTATAAAAAAGAATTTTATTGAAGACAAAATTTGTAAGATTCGTTGTCATATAAATTTAGAAACGAAACTTGAATATGATCAAAATACACGAAAACATTGTACTTTGCAATTGTATATTGGTTTTGTACAATTTATGCAGTCTTTCAAATACATAAAGCTTCACAATGTTCATTACGATATATTTGTACAATGAAAACATAAATATAATAAAAATGCATAGAAAAATTGTAATTTTAATTGTGAAAAAAGAGTGAATGCAAATATTTTTACAATTGAAACAATTTTTTAAATCCACGAAACTTAAGAAATTTATAGACATTTGTAAAGAAATTGATGAACATAAAAGCTTAATATGTAACTTTTGTAACAAAATATTATTCATGGGAACGTAAAAATATAGGATATCATAATGTATGTATATAGAAATACATTTTATAATTATTCGCTTTTTAATGTACGTAAAGCTTGACAACCTGTTTTGTGATAAGTTTGTATAAATGAAATATAAATATAATAAAAATGCATAGAAATATAAATGTAATAGCGAATAAAATGTGACTGCTGATATTTTTACAAACGAAACATGAATCTAATATTTTTGCATGGAAATATTGTAATTTGTTATTGTTAATCATTTTTCCACTATTTAAGACGTTTTTTCAATACATAAATGTTAATAAATTTGTAAAATGAAAATAGTGTCAGATGTAACCTAAAATTTATATACTGAAAATACCAAGAAATGTACATTAAATTTGCATAATTTTATAATGCGTTAACAGCAATTACTCGATAACGAAATCTGAATAATCCCTTAATCCCTTAATCCCTTAATAAAACAGGGGAAAACAGGTAAAAAAGTATAAAAGGAAATAACGACAGAAGAAAATTATCATACTAGATGAGTATATTGTGCGAGAAACATTAAATAATGGATTCATCGAATGTTTTACCTAAAGACGAAATGGACGAAATTCTGGGTGCCATCGCCACACCTACAGAACAGGAAGACGACACCCTGCAATGGGGCGATATAAGTGAGGAGGCTCTGAATGAAGCGTGCGCTGTTGCCGAAGAAGAAATTGGAGAAACAGAAGAAGTCAGAAAGCCACATGAGATAGACGACACCCTGCAATGGGGCAATATAACTGACGAGGCTCTAACTGAAGCGTGTACTGTTGCCGAGAAAGAACTTGAAAAAAAAAAGAAATAACACAGCCACATGAGGTACCATTAATGTGGGAAGACATCGACGAAACAGAATTAGTGAATGTTACTGTAAAAGCCGAACAACATGGAAGTGCCGTCATGCATAGAGATGTGGAAGAATTACAATGGGAGACTATCGATGCCTCCCAGCTAATAAACATAACTATGGAAGCAGAACAAAATGTCGGTGAAGAAGAACAGGAAGAACGTGACGTCTTAGAAGAAGAAGAGGTAGAAGAAGAACAGGACGAACCTGACATCTTTCAAGAGGAAGAAGTAGAAGAAGAAGAACAGAACGAACATGACGTGTTAGAAGAAGAAGAGGAAGACGAAGTCCAGGACGAACATAACGTCTTGGAAGAGGAAGAAATAGAAGAAGAACAGGATGAACCTGACGTGTTGGAAGAAGAAGAAATGGAAATAAGCGGAAACAACAACATCGAAATAGGTCCGTTGTCGACATCGACAACAGCAAGCACAAACGCATCGTCTGAGGAAATTCGCAGTAGGATGGTTCGACAATTAAGTCCAAATAGCGATTCTTCCGAAGAAATCCGAAAACAAATGGTAGAAAAGTTTATCAAGCGACCTTTCAAAAAAAGAAAGTTCGAGTAATGGTCCAATTAGCAAAGCAGAAAAATCGGCAAGTATAAGAAAATTTTCATAGATGACAAATACAGTACGCAGCTGTAATAAGAAAAACCGCGTTTAAGATACATAACAGTTTGTATAAAAGAAAACGACAAAAATAAAGTAATGAAAATATAATAAAGCAAATAATTACCGCTTAAATGGGTGCATGTGTACCACCCTCGCGCGACCCACAACAGTTGAATATGAAATGCAGCTAAAATAAACACCTGACGTCCGTGAACGCGAAAACACAAATTGGAAATAAATGGATAGGCGAAGTGGCGCGCCGCTTCGCGACTCGCAACCAAAACAGTCGTTGAAATGCGCGGAAATAGTATATTTGCAAGAATTTTGTATAAATCGATCTCACACCAAATCGACCTCGCACCCGTATTTCCCAAATACGATACACAACCCGAACACGACATGTGCAACAGGAAAATATAAAAAAAGTGTAACCAAACCGAGCCCAGCGTGCCCGCTGCGTCCTGCAGTAGTTGCATACAAACCGCAGCGAAAATTTATAAAACATGACCACCGCGCGCTCCTAAAACTGGGAAAAGAAAAAAATTAATAGATAACAAAACCACCACAACCGTAACAGAATGCGAAGCAATCCGCTGGGCCCAGCAGGCCCGTCGCGCCCCGTAATAGTTCATTATGGAATACAGCGAAAATAAGCATAAACAAACATTGGAAATAAATTGATAAGCGAACAGGCGCCGCTTCGCGGCTCGCAACGAAAACAGTCATTAAAATGCGCAGAAGTAGTATATATGGAAGAATTTTTTATATATCGATGTCGCACCCATATAACCCGACCAGAAATCACAACCCGAACACGACATGTGCAACGGGAAAATTTAAAAAAAGTGTAACCAAGCCGAGCCCAGCGGGCCCGCTGCGTCCCGCAGTAGTTGAATACAAACCGCAGCGAAAATTTATAAAACATAACCACCGCGCGCTTCTAAAACCGGGAAAAGAAAAAAATTAATAGATAACAAAACCACCACAACCGTAACAGAATGCGAAGCAATCCGCTGGGCCCAGCGAGCCCGTCGCGCCCCGTAATAGTTCGTAATGGAATACAGCGAAAATAAGCATAAACAAACATTGGAAATAAATTGATAGGCGAACAGGCGCCGCTTCGCGGCTCGCAACGAAAACAGTAATTAAAATGCGCAGAAGTAGTATATATGCAAGAATTTTTTATATATCGCTGTCGCACCCATATAACCCGACCAGAAATCACAACCCGAACACGACATGTGCAACGTGAAAATATGAAGTTAAAACCATGCTCGGCCCAGCGGGCCCGCCGCGCCCCACAGTATAAGAAATTAAAAAAAAAAATAAAATCACCACCGTAACAGTAGAAAATAAATAGATAGGCGAACTGGCGCCACTTCGCGACGCGCAACCGAAACATTAAAAAAATGCACAGAAGTATCGCTGCATGCAGTAACCCGCCGAGACCACTAAAAAATGCAACGTGATCCGCACAACAACGGAAATGTGTAAAACATAAGAACCTCGAGCCCCTGAACGCAGGGAAAACATAAATGGATAGGCGAACTGGCGCATCGATACCGTACCACAACGCAAAGTGACCCGTCGGGCCCATTAGGACCATCCGTCGCCACTTCGCAAATCCGAGCGGAGAACTGGAAAGGTAGGCCAAGTCCGCCACAACGGAGATGAAAAAAAAATTAAAAGGGCCATAACTCCACCCCCTTAAGCGCTACAATAAAAACGAAAGAATACTTTTTTGCTAGTCGCACGATAAGCTTTCGTTTGATGTAGGATAAGTTCATATTCGAACCGACGAGGTTATCAAAATGTTTAGCTCACGTTCTCCACCGGGGGTCGAAAACTAAAATCGGCCATAAAAAAAAACTATAAAAGATATCGTAAAAACAGAAACACCTCCGAGTTCGTAACATCAAGACGCACGTTTAGAAACCGTCGTCAGCAACGCACGAATATTTAAAAAATTCCAACCCCCAACAGCACCCTCCGAAGAAAGAGAAGAAACTGGAAAAGTACGTCACACAGAAGCCCTCCCAAGGTATAATGAATCCCCCGAAGGAAAATCCGGCCCGAAGGACCAAACGGCCAGAATAAAAAATCGGCCAGTACACCTGCGCGGAACATCGGATCGCAAAAAAATTTTAGGGGTACGAAGATCCAAGGGCCCTCTACCTATCCACCAAATTTCGAACTAATCCGATAACATTACGCCTCCCCCGTACACCCCACCCCCACCCCCGAGGTCGGACCGCCAAACGAAGATCCATCGCGACATCGCGACCGAAATAAAAAATCGACGGGTCGCGGCGATTTAATTAAAAAAAATTAAAAATTTTCTGCGCGACGTAGGTTTTCTTACGTTCGAGAACGGGACGATATATAACAAAATCGACCCCATGGGCGTGTTTGGCAGAACAGGTACGAATTTATTTTAGGGGTCTCGCCCCGACCTCACGAAAAAAGGGCGGGGTCATATGCACCCCACAAAAAAAAATCGATAGATTTTCACGAAATCCGACGTGGCCCACACACCCGACAGTCATAAGATCCCCTCCGAAGCGCAAGTCCGTAGCACCAACGGTTCGGCCGTAAATCGCTATAAAGTGTTCGCGCATGCGCCGAATTTTTTTTTTTTTTTCACAGAATCCGCCCGTCCCACCGTATCCGACAGGAGCCCGTGCGCATCCGTAGCATTCACCGCCGAAGCGCACGGCGACTTTTACGTTCTGCGCAGCATCGTAGCCATTGCACCTGTAGAGGCAAATCGAACCGCCGGCCCGGCCGGAATACGACGGTTCGTCGAACGTCGCTCCAGCTGTGGCCGTTCGCATATCGACGTATAACTCGCAAACGCGCAGGCGCACAGAACCCCGCGCGGTCGAGCACGAAGGGGCCCAGACCCTCTACCGACCAAACCCCCACGCGCAGCCGTAGGTCGTACCCCGACCTACCGCGCAGAGATTCCGACCGTTTTCGGTAACTTCACCCCCACTTTTTATAGCGGTTCCGAGCCCGCCGCGGTACCGCGCATACGGCCATATATCGGTTTTCCCTCTCAGTCCCAAAACGTACGACTTGCACCATAGAAAACTTATGCGCAGGCGCACAGAAACCCGTCCGTGCGAGCACGGACGCTTTACGTCCCTCTACCTCCGCGACCCCTCTGCGCAGAATTTTGCCTCCCCGCAACCCTCCGCGCATACCCGACCGAGTTAACCTTGAGGATTTCGGGGTCGCACCATAGAGGCTCACCAATAGCCCCATCTTTTGCGCGTACGACGGCGCAAACCTTACCTCGCTACGGCGTCTCGTTCCCGAGCCGCGTGCCCGTTTATACTCGAAAACACGGTATCCCACCACGCCGCCCCCGGAGGCCGTAGGGGGCCCGTGACAGTCGCGCCGTACCCGGCTCGACCCCCCGACTCCGATTCCGCGATCGTTTCGCCGCCCCGCCGCCGTTTCATACCGGCCGCCCCCGCTACCGGCCGAACGCCGCCCCCGATCGCAAAATCGGCGAGAGGTGTTCGGCGTTCCCCGTCGCGAGTACACCCCGTATACGAAGTTTGAGATCGATCCGAGACATTCTAAAAACCCAGGTCACGTTCCCCATAAGCGGGTAGAATTGTATATCGCCCATGCGTTTTCTATTGAACATATTATAGTTGTTTGTTAATTTTCTCTGATTCTTCAGTCCTTCGCAAGCTTTGACGGCAAGGTCACGGATATACAGTGTGTCCCACTTAAGCATTAGCCACTCATGTAAAATTGTTATTCACAGACTTGTTTCAATTTTTTTTTTGTTTGATAAATCTCAGAAAAAGGAGTAGAATGTATAATTTCTGTATTTTCGTGGTCTAACTCACGGCCAACTGAGACGCGTTTTGTAGGAAGAAAAAACGAGAAGTAATATTAGGATGGTTTTGACAAAAACTGCACCGAATTCTTATTAAATTATTTAATAACAAAATAAATAATTCAAACTTATGCACTTTTCAACACGTTGAGACTATTAATTGTTGCTTTTTGTAACTGTTGCCTAGTTATGTTACGGCATACGTCTGTAATAGGTTCACAAAGTTCTTCTCGTCTTTGGGGCCTCGTAACATAATCTTTATTTTGAACAACTCCCCACAAAAAAATCGAGAGGTGTGAGATGTGGAGACCGCGGTAGCCAATGAATTAAAGGGATGTTACGTCCAATCCATTGATTGGGAAAATGTTCGTTCAGCCAATTTTTCACCATGATCGAATTATGGAGGCAAGTCATCGATTTCGTCCATAAATTCATTTTGTAAGAATCTCCAAAATCATCCGCATTTAAATTTCCTTCAAAACAGTATGGTCCAATGATTTTTAGATTTAAAATGCTACACCAAATATTCACCTTAGCGGAATACTGCTCTTATGTACCGCATTATATAACCCAATGCGGATTTTCTTCACACTACATTCTAATATTTTGCGATAAAACAATATCGATTGTAGTGAACGCAGCTTCATCAGTGTACAAAATATTTTTCAAAAAACTGGGATCATTTAAGTATATACCCTTAAACCATAAACTTTATTCCATTCTTCTTTCTCTCTTCAATTTCTAGACTGTGAAGAAATTTGGGTTTGCATGCCTTGACAAAGTTAAATTGTTTGCTTGTATAGCCTTATTCATCAATCGTGTGCCTCCAGTTGCGACGACTGTCGACTATTTCTAATTGCAAAATTGTAAAAATTTATAAGAATTATTTGATGCGTCTCTAACGTCCCTGTTAGGGAGCCATTGTGACGCTCCCTCGACTAGTTATCAGGTTATTCGGCAGCAGGTGTTGGTGATGTCACGGGAACGTGTTCACTCCACATGAACCTCGCCTTCGGTTTAGAGTAAGTACTCGGGCAGCTACAGTGAAGAAAGTTTACTTCCAGGGGTCTGTTATATTTCCTTTATTATAACTGTCGTCGCAGCAGGATAATACTTGTGACTTGTATACAAGGAACAACTTATATTAACATTAACAGTAAATATATGTACGAAAAACAAAGTGATGTGTACAACTCGTAGACTTTTTACATTTTGACAGTCATTAATCATCACGTTGAACCATAGAACTACTGAACAAAAGAGAATAGAAGTAACTAAGAACATATAACAGTTAGATCAGTGGCTCTAACAGTGCTGACCACTTTTAAAACAAATCTGATTTACGTATATTTCATATTACACCAGTAACAATAGCCAAAAGTAGTTTTCCGCGTGTAGCGCAAATTCCTTTCTCAAATGAATGAATTATCAGTGTACATTGCAAATACATAGTAAGACTTCTTACAAATCGGAATACAACTGGAAGTATATTTAACTAACTAGACTAAACTAGATTTATTTCCATTCATTCTTCCAACTTTTTTCATATGCAGCGAATCTTCAATGTAGCCTTTTGCTACTGTGCTGCTTTTCCATCCTCCATGGCGTTGTACAGTCATCTGCCCCTGAGTTTGCCAACAAATTAGCAGATGAGCTGCGGAAGGTGTGACTAGTATAGGTTTCTGGATCCTTCAGTTGCAGATACGTAGCCTTTGGTTTTGGCATACTTGCGAATGTATTAATGCCAATCATTTGTTTAGTGCATTTACCATTGTGGTAACTCAGAAAAACCTTTCTGTTTTTACATCTTTAGGGCGATTTTCTGCATACTTTTTATAGATTTTATAAAAATCACCATCAATTACAATCGAACGTGGTTTGTCATTTTTAGTTAATGACATCTTTACTGATATCATATCGTTTTTATCATTGATATCTTGCAATGTTATATTAACAAGCTCAGATTTTCTACATGAAGAGCTTTTCTGCAAAACTGAATAAGTCCTTTAAGCTCAGTTTTAAGAAAAGGAGAAATTTTGTATATAATCAATAAAAGACACAAAAGCAAAATGCCACTAAAAAATATGGTTAATAGGCATCTTATAGCACACAGTGAAAATATGAAGAAAAATAAAAAGTTTTTTGGGATTTATTTACTAAAAATGGTTGTACTTGTTGAGTTTTGATTAAATAATATGGACCTGTTCTGTTTTGCTTCGTTAGCTAATGGGACTTGTTAACTTTTGTAAAACTAAATTAGAATACCTACATGTATGTTTTTTAAAATATTTATTTTTAAATTGATACATTAATATTTAAGCTTATATATGAATTGCCACTTCGTCCTCCAAACAGTCACATGCTTCCTCATCCCCATCATTATGTTCTTCCTCATTTTCCAGTATTTCCTCATTATTTTCTTGTATTATATTTTCTGGATTGCTTAGTAATAATTTGTTCCAATTCAAAGTATCATATTCTTCCCAGTTTTTCCCAATATGAGTTTCAAGTAAAGTTCTTACATTGGCCAGTTTCTTAGGATTAACCTCATGAATTAATGGCTCTTCCGGCAAATTGTAATTTTCAATTTTTTTCCTCTTTTCATTATATTTTGTTTTTTACTTCCAAGAGTGGATTTGAAGTTTGGAAAACCTTCTACTTCCATAATTTTCTTGCCATTTTTCTCAGTTTTTGTTAAAACTATTCTTTTATACTCGCTAATGTTGTCCAGTTTTTTGTAAAGAGTTTGAAGACCTTTCACCTTAAGAAGTTTCCAATCTTTTCCCAAAATTTTAACAAATCATGTCTATATAGTTCATGATATTTCTCTTTGTTCTCTATTACGGGCTCTTTTCTTAGTTTCCTTTCAATGCGTCCAAAAACCCCATCCGCTGGCAAGAAACTATGTCCGCGTACTGGAAAGTGGATCACTATTTTATTTATATTTTTTGTGGTTTCATTCTGCAGCCAAAACATTAAAGCATGTATAACATGCGAGTTTTTATTTTGACCACCACACCCATCGCAAAACAATCTAAGTATAGTAATTTCGGCATTCATTTCTAAACTGTTAATGTAATCTAATAATGCTGATGCAACTTCGGTACAACCTCTCCCTGCTTGGTCTTCTGTCCATGTATAAAATGTAGGTTTAGAAGAATCGGGTCTAACACAGCATAATGTATAGTAGCTTAGCTGCCTTAAATAAAAAGCTTCTCCGATAGGAGTTTTAGGAAGAGGTTGTACCTATTGCATATCAAAGCAAAATGATATGGCATTTTCAGGTTTCTTTTTTAAAAGTTTATAGAAGGCTTTAGATCGTAGTTTATGAATTCTTTTTTCTGTTATGAGTGTAACTTTTTTGTCATTATTTTTTTCGTTTTTAATTTNCTCATCATCAGTGTAATAGTAGTAGACGTTACGACTTGTACTGAATATCTAGTAATCAATAAACGTGTTGAAACAAATAAATGTGTTAAAGTCTTCCAAGTCACGAATTGCAACTTTAACTGGCGCAGTCGGTAGGATAGTGCGTAGTCCAGAAGAAATCATATTTGGTAGTAAGAAATTGACCAACGTGAAGAACCCTTCCAGACTATTGACTCTCAAGTCTTCAGCACTAGCCAGAACACTTTTGGAAAGGACCTCAAGAACTACAGCCATTCTCTGTTTAAGAAGCCAACTGATATTGGTGAGTCTGTGAGTCTTCCCTGTTCCCATTCCCTTGATTGATACTGATACTTTCAAGTTCTGTGACAAAATTACTATTTACTCCCTGAATTGACTGTTTATCAATTTCCGGTTCGGTTAAGAATCTAGAGGTTAACTGTATATTAATTTCTAGTTAATTAAGAATTTTTAAGAATTAAAAAGAATTTAATTTAAAATCAAAATGGCAAATCCCAATTACCAATTATTAAAAATGTATATCGATACCATCCCGACTTTCGATGGTAATCCAACACTTTTAAACGATTTCTGTGAAGCATG